TTAACTACCAAGTTTTCTTCAATTATTGTTGTGGCCATGAGAAAAGTATCGATCGCACGAGAAAACAATGTATCTTACGAATGTCTCTAGTATTACCTACTCAAATTACAAAGTTTTTCTACTAAAGCAATGTAAAGGTGAGATTCTACAACTATTGAAAATGCGAAAAAGAAGAAAATATTGTAATAAAAGATGTCTTGGACTCATGATAATGAGTTTAATAGTATTTTCCTAACTAGGCTCATCTAAGTTTATTGTAAATAAGACCATATGCACCATTAAATTTTTGTCGAGCTTATAAGGATGTGAATAAAGGCTTTCACCCGTCCAAAGTGATTATCTCTCCATAGAATTTAATTCCAAATTAAAAAAATAAACTTTTCTAATATTTATATAGAAAAAAGTTTTAAACTAAAAAAATTAAGTAAAGTATTAGTTAAATATATATTTATTCTTTTACTTTAAATATATATTTTTAAATGAGAAGTTACAAGTTTTTAAAATAATATAATTTAAAGTGTAGATATTTAGCTCTAATAAGAAAGTAAGAGATGAAGAGAGAGAAGGATTAGGGGAGAGAGAGATAATGGGAAGAGAGAGACATGAAGATCGATTTAAATAGTTTTTAAAATCTAAAATAATGTTTAATTAAAATTTAAAATTGGTATTTAAAAAATATTTAAAATGTCAAAAATATATAAATGATATTTAAATATTATATGTTTATTTAAAAAAATTTAAATTTTATACTCCGATTTTAGTTAGACAAATTTAAGAATTTTAAGACTAATTTAATTATAACTTTAACAAATATCCTAATTCAAATTTTTACTCTATAAAAATAATCAAAAATAAAACTTTTAAATGTCGTGGGTATAAAAAAACTATTTCTAAATATAAAAATTGAGAGATCATGATGATATCTTCACATATTAGACGAATATTTTCTCTTTTTCCATCTTATTAATTTTTCACATTTATTTAACAATTTTAGTATTGTCTAATATGTACTAATTTCCTTATTTGGTTATAAACTTATAATATTACAAAAAAAGCATGCATACCTCCAACAAAAATTTCACAAAGAAAAAAGTCCTTAATCAGGACACCAATAGAAATCTAAACACAAAAAGAAACCTACTTGAACTTGCATGGGAGGTTGGTGGATTGAAAACCTAGAAAATAGGGTCTTGATTTCTCTACAACCAAGAATAACTTAGAAACCAACTAATATGTTGAATAATGTGTTTTACCAATTCCTAATAAATTCATTGTGGTGTGAACTGTTTAATCATAGGAGATTTTGACCTCCCCTCTTTTAGAGAGGTTGTGAGGCATGACCATGAAGTTGGTGTCATGGTTGTGGAGAATGGGATTAAGTTGGGGAGCTCAGAGGTTAGACAATAATGGGTTTATTTAGATTGTTGTGCTTGTTTGGATACAAGTAAGATTTAACATAAGCATGATTTAATAAATCTTATAAATTTACAGCACCATAATAATACAACTTTCCTTTTTTTCACAGCGACCTAGGGTTTTTCCACTCCCATCCGGGCAGCTATCTCCGGCATAGCCCTACCTAGTGCCATGCACCAGCCACTATCCTCCTGCCCTTGCACCTGACTCCGACTACTTGCTCCCTCGCTGGGGCCGGCAGCTCTCGTCGCCGGCTTTGTTTCAGCAGTCGCACGCAGATGTGTTCCAGAATTTCAAATGTGAGTTCAAGCCTGGAAGCTCCAGCCGTTGCCCTCATCAGTGGCATTTCCTTCGGCTTTCCTTTGGTTTGATTTCTTCTTTTCCCTTCTTATGGCTGCTAGTCGTTTGCATGACCCGGGTTTTTTAGATGGGATTATGTAGTCTCGTTCTTTTCGGGAGGTCCTATTCGGGACCTCCTCTGTGTCTAGTTTTTCCACCTTTGAAGGGTTCTTCTTGCCACTGTCTTCCTGCTTTATTGATTTCTGATGTAGAATTGAATGCCCTAGCTGCACCTTTTGAGTTTTCTTTGGTCGAGAAATTTCCCAGCAATCTTCCGTCGCTGGAATCAATTCGTAAATTTTTCTTCAATCTGAAGCTGAATGGTGAGTTCTCTATCACTGTTCTCAACAAGAATAATGTTTTGATCAGGCTTAGAAATGATTTGGATTACTATCGAGTTTTCGCTCACCGTTCCTATTTTGTTAACAACTGCTACACGAAGTTGGTTAAATGTTCTCTGCATTTTGATGTTTGTGTTGAATCTCCTATCATTCCAATTTAGATTTCTTTCCCTAACCTTCGCCCTCATAGTTTCTCTTCCGTATTCTTCAAGGGTTGGGGTCCATTTTTGGTGGACCCTTAAAGACTGATGATGCTACTGCCAATGGAACTAGACCGTCAGCTGCTTGTGTACTTATTGAGATTGATATTACTAAGCGGTATCCGGATCAAGTTTCGCTTGGTTCTAAAACTTTGGGTTATGCCCAAAATGTAGAAATGGAAGTTTTCCCCTTCTATTGTGGTCGTTGTAAAGCCTTGGGTCATTAAAAAGCTGATTGTAGTGTGTTGCATCCTCATCCTGCTGTTGTTCCCGCACCTGTGATTGGTTCAGTTTTGAAACCTGTGGCTCATCATGTGGCTGAGATTGATAAGGTGGTTTTTGGTATTTGTAACCATTCTTTGGCACATGTGGAGTTGGGGTTGTCTGCCGATGCTATTTGTTCTCCTCTGATTATGCCTAGTGCTGTTGAGTTAAATAACTCGGATGTTGTTGCGGTGTTTGACATGCCGCAAAACCCCTTGGTTGTTGAGGTTGATCCTGTGAATGCATTAGTTGCACCGGTTGTTGTGCCTGAGTTGGTTGCACCTTCCTGCACTACCCCTTGCTTACTTGTCTCACCTGATGGAGTTTTAACTGCTGGTGTGACAGGTGATGCTCCTTCGGTTGGTTTTGATGGTGAGGGTACCTTGCCTACTGTTGTTGGTTTGGTGAAGAAGATGGATGGTAGGGGTGTGGGTGGATTTGATGCTATTTTGGATACTACAACTGTTTTTTGTGTTCTTTCAGATGGCGATGTTCCATTGTCTAAAAGTTTTGAAGAGTCACTTTTGAATGTGCCTTTAACCCTTGTTTCCAAGGATGATATGCAGTCTCACATTTCAAGGGATTGTGAGGTGATGTGGGGTGACCGATTACATGCCGATAATTCCTCAGCTGATGGTGAAGATTTTTATGAGGATGATTTGGCTTTTAGAACGGATTTTATTAAAAGAAGTGGAAAACGTAAAGCTCGTAATTGTAGAAAGAAATGATGCTCTTTTTGGTTTGTGTTTCTCTTTTTTAGCTTCTTGTCTTTAGTTTGAATCTTTGGCTCATAGGTTTTCCTTTAAATGTTGTATTTCTAGAGGGCTTTAGATTATTTAAGGACTTGTACCCTTATTTTGTTTTAACTTGTATGCCCCTTCTACGGGTTTTTTGGAAAAAAAAAAAAAGAAAGAACAACACCGTGATAATTTTCGTACCAAAAAAAATCTTATAAATTTGAATTTAGTAAAATTTGAGAGCATATTGCTTGAAAATTGTTTGACATGAGAGCTTTTAAATCTTGATAAATCTTGGCAAATTAATTGAATTTTTGTTTCATGGTTTAGTTTTTAACTCAATTGATTTATTTTTTCCCAAGAGATACACATGCACTGCGCTTGCTTATATTATTTTGTTTCAATGAAAAATAATAAAATCAAGGAAGTTTGTATGATTTCTAGGAGGCCAAAAAGGGTTGATAAAAAACCACTGGGCAGCATTTGTTCTTGGATTGATTCTACCCTCTAATGATTTCTAGTGAATGTTGCTTTACATAGATTGTCGAATTTACCGACAAAATTTTTTTTTTTGAGAAGATTTAAGATAAATTTTGGTTAAGTCCAAATTCATACTTGCAATCAAATAACTTCATAATGTCATGAGCCTAATCGAGCTGCAAAGCTATAATGGACATTGGTTGATTCTAATTGGTCTAGATTAGCCATTTTTTTTATTATCTTAAAAAATATAAATATAAGAAATTTGGGGAAATTATCAAATTAATTCGATAATTAGTTTACTTAATTAATAGGGCTTTGCTTTAATTAATTAAGTCTCTTCCCTTATTAAATAGTCCATTAATGACTCTATTTTGATTTATTAAATGAATCTTGGATTATTTAATAGTAATTAAGGCGCAATCATTATAATCTACGTAATACCCTTGAGGCACTTTTTCATGTTGGCCACTAAAATTTCATGATGATTTGATCATATATATATATATATATATATATTAAAAATGTATTTT